CCATCAACTCGTCATTTACATTAGGTATTTCTCCTAATGCTATCCTTCCCTCAGCCGCCACCCACCGACAGGCCCTGGTGTGTAATGTTCCCCACCCTGTGTCCATGTGTTCTCATTGTTCAATTTCCACCTATGAGTGAGACCATGTGGTGTTTGGTTTTCTGTCCTTGTGATAGTTTGCTGAGAATGATGGTTTCCAGCTTCATCCATGTTCCTGCAAAGGACATGAACTCATCCTTTTTTATGGCTGCATCGTATTCCATGGTATATATGTGCCACATTTTCTTAATCCAGTCTATCATTGATGAGCAACTGGGTTGGTTCCAAGTCTTTGCTATTGTGAATAGTGCCACAATAAACATACGTGTGCATGTGTCTTTATAGTAGCATGATTTATAATCATTTGGGTATATACCCAGTAATAGGATCGCTGGGTCAAATGGTATTTCTGGTTCTAGATCCTTGAGGAATCGCCACACTGTCTTCTACAATGGTTGGACTAATTTGCAGTCCCATCAACAGTGTAAAAGCGTTCCTATTTCTCCACATCCTCTGCAGCATCTGTTGTTTCCTGACTTTTTAATAATCGCCCTTCTAACTGGCATTAGATGGTATCTCATTGTGGTTTTGATTTGCATTTTTCTGATGACCAGTGATGATGAGCATTTTTTCATGTGTCTATTGGCTGCATAAATGTCTTCTTTTGAGAAATGTCTGTTCATGTACTTTGCCCCTGTTTGTTTTTTTCTTGGAAATTTGTTTAAGTTCTTTGTAGATTCTGAATATTAGCCCTTTTTCAGATGGGTAGATTGCAAAAATGTTCTCCCGTTCTGTAGATTGCCTGTTCACTCTGATGGTAGTTTCTTTTGCCGTGTGGAAGCTCTGTAGTTTAATTAAATCCCATTTGTCAATTTTGGCTTTTGTTGCCATTGCTTTTGGTGTTTTATTCATGAAGTCCTTGCCCATGCCTATGTCCTGAATGCCTAGGTTTTCTTCTAGGGTTTTTATGGTTTTAGGTCTAACATTTAAGTCTTCAATTCATCTTGAATTAATTTTTGTATAAGGCATAAGAAAGGGATCCAGTTTCAGATTTCTACATATGGCTAGCCAGTTTTCCCAGCACCGTTTATTAAATAGGGATTCCTTTCCCCATTTCTTGTTTTTGTCAGGTTTGGCAAAGATCAAATGGTTATAGATGTGTGGTGTTATTTCTGAGGCCTCTGTTCTGTTCCATTGATCTATATATCTGTTTTGGTACCCGTATTATGCTGTTTTGGTTACTGTAGTCTTGTGGTATAGCTTGAAGTCAGGCAGCGTGATGCCTCCAGTTTTGTTCTTTTTGCTTAGGATTGTCTTGGCTATGCGGGCTCTTTTTTGGTTCCATATGAACTTTAAAGTAGTTTTTTTCCCAATTCTGTGAAGAAAGTCATTGGTAGCGTGATGGGGATGGCATTGAATCTACACATTACCTTGGGCAGTATGGTCATTTTCACGTTATTGAGTCTTCCTATCCATGAGCATGGAATGTTCTTCCATTTGTTTGTGTCCTCTTTTATTTCATTGAGCAGTGGTTTGTAGTTCTCCTTGAAGAGGTCCTTCACATCCCTTGTAAGTTGGATTCCTAGTATTTTATTCTCTTTGTACCAATTGTGAATGGGAGTTCAATCATGATTTGGCTGTTTGTCTGTTATTGGTGTATAGGAATGCTTGTGATTTTTCCGCATTGATTTTCTATCCTGAGACTTTGCTGAAGTTGTTTATCAACTTAAGGAGATTTTAGGCTGAGATGATAGGGTTTTCTAAATATACAATCATGTCATCTGCAGACAGGGACAACTTGACTTCCTCTTTTCCTAATTGAATACCCTTTATTTCTTTCCCTTGCCTGATTGCCCTGGCCAGAACTTCCAACACTATGTTGAATAGGAGTGGTGAGAGAGGGCATCCTTGTCTTGTGCCGGTTTTCAAAGGGAGTGTTTCCAGTTTTTGCCCATTCAGTATGATATTGGCTGTGGGTCTGTCATAAATAGCTCTTACTATTTTGAGATACATTCCATCAATACCTAGTTTATTGACAGTTTTTAGCATGAAGGGCTTTTGAATTTTGTCAAAGGCCTTTTCTGCATCTATTGAGATAATCATGTGTTTTATGTCATTGGTTCTGTTTATGTGATGGATTACGTTTATCGATTTGTGTATGTTGAACCAGCCTTGCATCCTAGGGATGAAGCCGACTTGATCGTGGTGGATGAGCCTTTTGATGTGCTACTGGATTTGGTTTCCCAGTATTTTACTGAAGATTTTCGCACCGCCTTTCATCAGGAATACCGGTGTAAAATTCTCCTTTTTTGTTGTGTCTCTACCAGGCTTTGGTATCAGGATGATGCTGGCCTCATAAAATGAGTTAGGGAGGATTCCCTCTTTTTCTATTGATTGGAATAGTTTCAGAACAAATGGTACCAGCTCCTCTTTGTACCTCTGGTAGAATTTGGCTGTGAATCTGTCTGGTCCTGGCCTTTTTTTGGTTGGTAGGCTATTAATTATTGCCTCAATTTCAGAGCCGGTTATTGGTGTATTCAGAGATTCAACTTCTTCCTGGTTTAGTCTAGGGAAGGTGTATGTATCCAGGAATTTATCCATTTCTTCTAAATTTTCTAGTTTATTTGCATAGAGGTGTTTAAAGTATTCTCTGATGGTAGTTTGTATTTCTGTGGGATTGGTGGTGATATCCCCTTTATCATTTTTTATTGTGTCTATTTGATTCTTCCCTCTTCTATTATTTACTAGTCTTGCTGGCGGTCTATCAATTTTGTTGATCTTTTCAAAAAACAAGCTCCTGGATTCACTGATTTTTTTGAAGGGTTTTTCTGTCTCTATCTCCTTCAGTTTTGCTATGATCTTAGTTATTTCTTGCTTTCTGCTAGCTTTTGAATGTGTTTGTTCTTGCTTCTGTAGTTCTTTTAATTGTGATGTTAGGGTGTCGATTTTAGATCTTTCCTGCTTTCTCTTGTGGGCATTTAGTGCTATAAATTTCCTTCTATACACTGCTTTAAATGTGTTCCAGAGATTCTGGTACATTGTGTCTTTGTTCTCATTGGTTTCAAAGAACATTTTTATTTCTGCCTTCATTTCTTTATGTACCCAGTAGGCATTCAGGAGCAGGTTGTTCAGTTTCCATGTAGTTGTGCAGTTTTGAGTGAGTTTCTTAATCCTGAGTTCTAGTTTGATTGCACTGTGATCTGAGAGACAGTTTGTTATAATTTCTGTTCTTTTGCGTTTGCTGAGGAGTGCTTTACTTCCAGTTATGTGTTCAATTTTAGAATAAGTGTGATGTGGTGCTGAGCAGAATGTATATTCTGTTGATTTGGGGTGGAGAGTTCTGTAGATGTCTATTAGGTCCGCTTGGTGCAGAGCTGAGTTCCAAGCACCCATCACTTAGACCAGGTATTAAGCAGAATAATTGTCTTTGACAAACAACAGCCTTCTGGAATCCATGAGAATGTTCAGGGAACCCTGACAGAGATAAGAACTAGTTTCCAAGAATAGGAAAAGATGATACGGCAAATCTTCGCCTTTACTTTGATCTGTGGCAGGAAACTGGTTTTTAAGAGAATCTGGTTTGTTCCTCCACCTCCTTTTCTTTGTCCTTCATATTTCTGTGAGTATGCTGGTTTCTAGTTGTTATACACATTAACTGAACACCTCATCACTCACCAACTCTGCCCCTGTGGCTACAGTTTGTGTATACCTCTCTCCTGGAGGGGAGGAGATCCTTGGTCTGATAACACAGTCAGTCTTCCCAAAGTCATGGCTCTAAAGGAAACAAACCACACATGAATCCAACAGGCTTAGACAGAGCACTTGGATTTCTACATGCTTGGCTCAACCCTGGAAGCGACTTGGGCTATTGCCCCACCACATGAAGACCTCTAAGCATTCAGGTAATTATGGTTTTTGCCCTCAGAAGGCCACAAATGACTGGAATCAGTGGCATTGAGAATAAGAGAGAAAATGCAGAAACTATTCACTCGTGCTACACGATAATGGGTAGACAGAACTGCAATTCAGATTCTAGAGCCCCTGGGAAGACAGTTAATCAGTAACCCAGCACAGAACCATGTTTGAGGAGAGTGGAGAAGCCAACAGTGTTCCAGAAGACGTGCTGCCTGCCTTCCCCCGCCAAGTTTGATGCTCCTTGTTTTGTTATGCAACATGCCCTTGAGTTTCTATCCAACACTGGAGCTTTTTACCCAGGTCCGTCCACACCTTCTAGCCCGAAGTGCCCTGTGCAAATTGTATATAGATTTAGACACCTCTCTTGCACCACACTCAACCCCCAATCCTCTCAGCCCACCACTTACTCCAGTCACTGTTGCAGTGACCAGTTCTCATGGGCTCTGGCAACCCCTGCTTCGGCCCTGCAATGTATTCTCTCTTGCTTTCTACCCACAGGACAGAACTTATCTGGGACTCGTGCATGTGCAGCCTGGAAATGTGGGGAGCTGACACGTGTGGGCTGCCTTTGACAAATGGGTGCCAACAAAGAAATGCTTCCCCCTTTTACTCATGGTACAGATGGTATTGAGATGCATTTCATAAGCTTCTTCTACAGTCCTTACTGGATGGAACATCCCTGCCCTTGGTGCTAGTCAACCTGAAAATGCATCCTATTCAGCCTCCCTCCTTCTCTGTTCTCCTCCTTTTGTCCTTTATTCCTGCTCCCTGGAATCCTGTCCCCAAAGCATAAACTGCTTAACTGCACAGAAGCACTTGTCTCAGGCTCTACTTTCAACGGAACCCAAACTACAACATTTGTGCAAGAAGGCTGGCTCAGCCCATAGTCAATTAATAAAATGAAGAATTCTAGTTCACAAGAATCAAATCTTAATCTTAATCCCAACCATTGCTAGAATTAACCCAAGCTGATACAGAGAAAAGGCAGGTGACAGTGTGGCACAGGCTCACTAAATTCTAGAAATAAAGATTCTAGGCAGTTGCTGTTATTTAAAAAATCATTTTACTTATTAAAACTTTCTCATTTCCTAAGGCACTTCAGTAGCTTTCACAAAAACATGTTTGTTCTTTTTTAACCAGGTGAAGCATATGCTTTAGGAGTACCATGGTAACATAATCAGCAAAGAGAAGACAATTACACTGAACACAAAATATCTCCCAATAAAGTTACAGGACTAAAGTGAGCTACTCTGAAAGACCGTGAACACAATTTAAATTTCTTTTTTGTAATATCCTCCCATGATTAAGTATCAAAAAAGGAACACACACAATGACACTGTTTTTGGCACTTAGAGAAGTGCTAGAGGCTAGGGCTGGTAAGGCCGTGCACCAGTGGCAGCTGCAGACAATTGCCAGAGTGATTCTGTGTTTTTTTAAAAAAAAGACACAAACCAGCAGGCTAAGGAACCAGCCTTTCCCAAGTGTATTCTGAAGGGCAAATAACTTAAGGAGAAAAGGATACAACAACAAACAAATAAACAATAAAACCCACGTTACAGCTTTGAGAGAAAAGACAAGGTTGCTCATCTCTCTCACCTGATAAACTTCCTTTAAACCATACATAAGACGCTATAGTAGCAAGGAGGTTTCCACAGCAGTGGAAAACAAGAATAGTAGATTCAATGGTGCATTTATTATGAGCCTGCACAAGCCCAGTGCTTTGATCAGATGTAAACAACGCTACTCAGTCATCATGCTGAGTGGTCTAAGCGCTCACACATCAATGCACTTGCCGGTGATCTGCATCTGCTCATTCTGCTCCATCTTCATTACCTTTCGCTTTCCCTAGCCCTGTGCTCTCTTGCCCTGGGGAAGCAATGATCCAGTTAATGTCCTCTGTAACTGAGTAAAGGTAAGAATCAAACTCCTTGTGCAATTACTTCCTTTTCCTCTAAAGTTCACCATTAGAGGGGAGTGGGAAAAGGGGCAGGGGACTTAGACCTCTAGCCTTATTAGGGGCCTTTTCAAGTAGTCTAAAATTAAAGCGTATGCTTCTCACATTCCTCCAGATCTCACTGGTTCTAGTGAAAAATTAACTTCTTCGGAGATGCTGAGTCCATCATTGTAATAGGACTTAGATGAAGTTGTCTATAGGTAGCCACAGTGTCCCTAGAGGAAGGTGGTGCTCTAGGACCATATGTAGCCTCTGAGTGTGGGCGCCCATCCATGAGCAAGTCAGACACAGATCAAGAGGATAAACAGCAAAGGCCTTTGTCACTGAACGACTCGGAGTCTGCATAAGCTGGCCATTTCTGGCAAGACAGTCTTTCCTTTTCAGTTTCTCCCTTACTGGAAGCTGTGTTAGAAGGCTGTGCTTTTAAGGATTGTGGGCCTTTCTTGACCATCTTTTAACATCCTTGTGTGACTTGGAGTTTTTCTGTGTTTCATTCTATAAAAACAAGCAAAAATATGTCAGTAACACATTTTAAAAAGATGCCTCCTAGTCTCCAAACAAACAAGAACTGAGGATATCTTCCCTGGGAAGAGAATCCTGCAGCAGATTCTGAAAGGTTTCTTCTAGCCTCTGCACTATCCAGCACGGCTACTGCCATAGAGATATACATAGTGACATGTCTACACAGGAAGAGACCAGACAGGATGGGCTATAAGTAAGCACCTTGCCATTTACAACCCTTTAATGGCTAAACTAGTCCATGGTGTCTGTGAGAGGGAGTTTGCGAGTGGCTCTATTGTGAGGGGCGCCTGAGACCTGGCCAGACCCAGACCCAGTGCATCAACACTGAGGGAGGAGGTCTTCTTACCCTTTGACTCTCAGCATCTGGTCAATGGTGTCCGGGAGTGGGGTACCGAAGCTCTCTGGGAGAAACAAGGTGAGGATGGCTGTCAGGATGGTCAGACTTCCCATGAGAATGTAGGGCAGGAAGCGGTCGTAGGCACCTATGGTAAAGCAGACAGAGCCTCAGGTCCAGGGCTGCAGTTAGACTTGGTCTCTCTCTACCCCTTTATGCTCCCAGGACTCTGGAAGGGGATCACCTTCCTTCTTGGTCTCACATCTCCCACAGTCTGAGCAGTCACATTAGAATCTGGCACCTAGACAGGTTTCAGAACCCAGAGCTGGCACAGGCATGCCCAGAGCCCAGCAGTGTTCCACCATGCAGGGGAGGAGTAAAAATGGATGGTTGCAGGAGAAGACTGGGCCATGCTGATTATTTCTATTTCTGGGCCATGCTAATTATTCTTATTTCCCAAGGTTGGGTTTCCAAGGAACCCGAGATACTTGTCCAGGGACGGAAATAACTCTTCCATCTCTGCAGATGTATCCCAGCCCATGTGATCTGCTTTCAGGTTAGGCAGGCTGCTTTGCTTGCTTTGAGATCTACATACCATGTTCACAAAGCACTCTGGGTGCTCTCAGGTGGGTGTCACCCTCCCTAAAGAGGTACTGGCTAGGGATGTGCAGGGAAACTACAGGTGCTATAAAGACATAATTCTGAGAAGAGAAAACTGGAGACCTGCTACATAAAATGGCATGGGCTGGATCTTCACACAAGATAAAATCACTCTATAGTGCTCCAGGTTATAATTTTCAGTTCATCAGACCTCTTGTATGGATATCTTTTCCCTCATGTTCCTTTTAAACTCTGATTCCAAGAAATTTCTCCAGCTAAGTACACTGGCTCCCTAAACCACTCTGTAGGTTCTTAGGATAAAGGAATTGTAGTCTCTGATGGAAGGCCTGGAATGGCTAAAACAGAAACAAACCCTCTAATTTTCTCATCAATTTCTAGGTAGTCTATAGGTTGTTATTCATTTGAAAGTGAGGGCCAGTGCACTGGGACAAGAACCCTCCCCGGCCAAAGATCCAGTACTGGATGGAGTCCATGTGCTGTATGAGCTTGTTTTTCTGTTAATCTGTGACCTCCAGCTCACATTCAAGCCGGTTAGTACTTCCATCCCGCTGCTCTAGTGTGCCCTCGGCCCATGGGACTTACCAAGGTAAACGAAGTAGGGAGACAGGATGCTGCCCAGGCGGGATGCTGTGGAGCTGACTCCCACACCCATGTTTCTCACCACCGTGGGATACAGCTCAGCTGTGTACACGTAGACCATGGAAAAGGCAGCCGTGACTCCAAACTTGCCCACCATCACCAGGACTGTAGCCAAATAATACAAGTCTGGAGGAGCAAAGGATAGAGGGTACGAGTAGATACCAACCCATGGCACACAGCTATTGAGAGCAAAACAAACATATTTTCTCCCTGAATTTTTTGGGGAGTCAGTTTCTGTCACTTTCTATTGTGGGGGAAGGGGCTATAGCCAAGACTTCCCTCCAAGTTGATTGCTGAAAGGAGGCTGGGGACTGCAGCTATAAGGACATGCGCTTTCCTCAGCCTGGAGACCACCAGAGTAAGCTCCTCAATAGTCCAATCGACCTGCTTCCCAGTCCAAAAGTCATTAAAGACCTGTCTGTCAGGGATTAGCTGTTACCCCAGGACCTCACACTGCAGGCACTATGGAATTAACTCATGATGTTTAGATGAATGGAGAATTCAGTTCTAACTCATTTCATGCTTTCCTCCCATTCAGACCTCAAAAAACCCATAGGCCATCAGAATCTCAAGTTGATCTTCTAATCTCTCTGTGCTGTGCTGATGGGAGAGCTATATGTGACCTAAAGGTCACTCTGAGCTCAGCTGTGAGCCTCTATGTTGGTTCTGGGCTCCTCCTGCCACATCCCATGGGGAGCTGTTCCTGTGCAGTGTTCCCAGCCTGATGGGCCCAAAAGTGACCATCAGAGGCTCCCAAATCTACAGGTACACTGAAGACTCTATAAATTATTGTAAATGGCTACATCCCACCCATCTATGGGATACCAAGATAGTTTCAGAAATAAACTCCTGCTAAGGGCCTGTGAGGCCCTCTCAGTGGTCTAGCCCCTCCCCTTCTCCCTCTTCCTCAAACATGCCAGGCTCATCCCCTGCTCAGGGTCACTGTCTTTGCCATTTCTTCTTCCTAAAATGTTCTGCTAGACTTTTTCAGGGCTTTCTGTCACTTTATATACATTTCAGATGAACTGCCCCCTGTTCAGGGACACTATCTGTGACTATGTAAACGGACTCGGCATTGTTCTTCATTTGTATTCCTAGAAGGTAACGCAGTCTGAACTGTATTAAGCATTTTATTTAATTGTTTGTTGTCTTCTCAACTAGGATGTATGTTCCATGAGGGCCTGGGGTTCGGCCTGGCTTGCTTTCTTGTGTATCGTTATTACCCAGCACAGTGCCCAGCCCGTGGTAGGCATGCCAGAGCTATTTGTTGAATAAATAAAGAAGACGGGGCCAGGAAAAAAAGTAACGGGATAGCTCTTTCTTCCCCCTTCTTCTGGAGTGGAAAACAGTATGAGCACATTAACTTGGGTAAAGAGTAAAATTAATCAACAGCCCCAATGGCTGCTTTTTCCCACTCCCTCAAAGCCCAGGCCATAAGTGTTTCAGTCTCAGAAGACACTTTCTATTGATTTTTAGGCCAAGAATGTACACATGCAAGGGAGCTGTGATGGGCTTGATTTTATTCTCTTTATTAATTGAGACAGCCTGGTAGAAATAAGACACTCAGAGAAGACCCCAAACCATAGATGCACATGGTCCCTACCTGGGGGTACCAGTTGCACGAAGAGAAGGACACTGCCACCCAGGAAGAGGGCAGTGGCCATGGAATAGCGCCGGGGCAAATATTGCAGCAGCAGCCAGGCCAACACGTATGCTGGGACTTCAACCACCGCTGAAAGGAAGCAGTTCACATAGATGTCCCCATGCAAGTTAGGAGTATCAAGGGAAAGCCCGAAATAGCCCACTGATATGGTCATCCTGAAACAGAGTGCAGAAGAAAGCTGGAAAAGCAGTATCTACATCTCTCCCAACCTGTACAACTTTTACAATGCAATTATTTCAGTAAATTCCAAACCATCTTTAAGCAGAGACTAGTAAACCCTGCACCAGTGCACTCTCAGAGCCTTCCATATAGACAGTGTCCCAGCAAAAAAGCTTGTATAATTCAGATAGATTTACTTCATTGAAAAGAAAAATTCCAACCTGCCTTTCAGCTTTAAAAATCCTAAGCTGAACCTCCTCAAATCCAGCAACTGCAGAAGGAGCTAGAGAATGAGTCAGGAGGCAGACATCAAGTGAGATGTGATAGGATTGTGGGGATAAGATAACAAAAGGAACAACATTAGGTCAAACACTTGGAGAGAGACCCCCACACACTACCTGTGGTGACCAGTCAGGAAGAGGCTGGTCAGAGGCAGCTAACACCAGCCCCATGGTACTTGTGGAGCAGAGAGGTGGCTCCCAATGGAGGGGCCACACTGCCTCTCATCTGTATGCCCCGCAGTCCCCTGACCTGGGCGTCCCCAGTAGGCATTCTCTCTGTTTATGACCCACAGTTTATGGATTAGAGTGCTTTGACTCATCTGCAGGTGGAACACACAGCTGGTACAATAAAAAGAGTATGGGCATGAGTCCCCAGGAAATCCAGAGCAGGGAGGACAGCCTGGGTGAACACAAAAGTAGGTGACTCATCACAGGTTGGCATGTCTGTGGTGCAGGCTACATGCTGCTCCTGTCTTGAGGCCAACTCAGGGAATGGTGAAATGCCTGGAGGGATCCTGGGCCATTCCTTGGAAGCGGATGACTCATAGCACCCCCTCAGTAGGCACAGGGGCTGACTGCCTCAAAGCTGGATGGGACTAGTAATAAGGACTCTGAGATGAAGTCCGCCCTCCTCGCCCATCTTCTCAACGCTCACCCACCAGGCTCCAGAAGTCGCCTAGAATCCCAGGGTTCAGCCGCTGAGCAAAAGCTAGCCAGGTGCACTTGGACATGTTTCCTCTCCCTGGTAATTCACAAATCCCTTTCTGACACACTTTGTGAAATGCCTCGAGTGGGAACCTGGTGAGGACATCTAGGTTATAGCCCTGACTCCAGGACCGTTTACGGACATCCCAGAAGGAGCACGTCCCACTTCCACATTTCCAGAAAGTAACTGGCAGCCTCTGCAGCCTACAGGACATGGTGTCTTCACTCAGATCCTTCTTAAAAGCCCTACCTGACCTCCTCAGCCACTGTCTGTGACTGGGTAGGAGACAGAAACTAAATGACCCAAATTGGGCAAGGATTCATTTAAGATCTGGAGAGATTCCCCACAAAAGAGTCCACATTTCCCAAAACAGCCTCCACAATTGTTTTCATTCTCCTTCTCTGAGGTTCCATCCCATGAAGAATTGTGACATGCCCATTTCTTCAATCTAACATAAGACATATCCTTTTAACTCTCTGATGACACAGGCCTTCAATTTTGGTCTGAAGCGTTTCTGTAAACAACAGGCCCAATGGCCACTTCAAGAAGCTTTGGAAGCCTCAGGCAGGTCTCTTTTACATACCACAGCATTATGGACATGATGGTGACCATCCGGATATTCCAGGTTCGAAGCAGATCCAGAATGTTGTGGGACTGCTGCTTCTTGGAACTTAGGTCTTGTAACTGCAGGAACAACATGATAAGGGTATGGGAAGATGAGGTGGTCAGCAACTCAGAGCACACAATAACATACTTGAATCCCTGGCGTCTTAGCTGTCTGCATCTCAGAGTCGGGGAGTGTTATGTTTCTAAGAACAGTAAGGATACTGACTGTGTTTAAGGCTATGAAAACTTCCCTAGGCCTTGTCAGTAACAAATCAGAGTGAATGAAAATGAGGAAAAGTAGGTGACCAGTCCCTCAAGGGTACGGGAATACAGAGGCCCAGGCTGACTGCTTCCTCACTGCACCCCCACATCTTCCTGTCAGTGGCCACATTCCAAGGAGGCCTCTAAGTATTCCTCCCCAAGCCTGGCTCCCTGCCCTCTGGGTCAGAGAGAGAACCTGGCTGTGTGGTTTATTGGTCTGATATTTTTAAAAAGTAAATGTTTCGAGTCCTTGTACCATGTAGTTACTGGTCTGCTTCCAGGGAAAAAGAATTCAAATAGAAAAACAGGAAAATTGACCTGAGCTTCACCCAGAGTGACTTCCTACGAAATTCAGCACAGCCAAGGCCATTAATAAACCACACGTCTAAACACACTGATGTTGCTTTCTTAAGCAAACCCAGGTTTGGAGCTTGTTTTTCCAGTTAGAAGTTCAACCAAAGGTCAACTTTGGACTGAAAGGATCCCCTGAAATAGCCTCATTTCCTCAAAGATGCCAGTGGGGCTTATGCATTCACCCAGATTGACCCCTCACTTAAAAACCCCCAAAGCCACCTAACTTAAAAGCCCTCTGCCACACTCCTCCCTGACCTTTGCGCACAGGACCCCTTTCTGGTGCATGCTGACAGTGGCTGCTGGGCCACCACTCACTGGGAAGTCTGCAGGGCTGGCAGTGGCCATTGGCTTCCGCTGTCTACAATAACTGTTCCCTCTTTCCCAAGGCCAACCATGCCTGCCTCTCACACTTCAGCATGGCTGCTTGTGGCTGTTCCCACAGCCAACCCCTCTTCTTCCAGTCAGACCACAGACACATTCCAGAACCACACCAGGCAGCATTTACAGCTTCTAACCTCTCCTCATAGTCACGAGACCGAGGAAAACTGCCTGCTACAGAGATGGTAGTAGAGGGAACGGGAAGGAAAAGCAAGAACCAGGAACCAGGCAGAGCCAAGAAATGACTCATGGTGTGTGAGAACAGGGTTGCAGGGAGGGTGGGGTAGGGGGAAGAGGTGGACATCAAAAAGGACCTGACTCCAAGATGATATGCAATAATTAACCATTGGAGGGCAGAAAGAGACTAAACACTTTTTTAAAAAATTATTTTTAATGAATAATTGCTAATACTCAAGAGATGAAATACTTCTAACTCCAAATCTATCTGTGCTTTACATTTTACATTCGGGGTTATCTTTGTAAGATGACAAGCCACTTTAGGTATAAGAAACAATGATTTCCCCAAATGCTGACTTTATGAAAGGCCTATTACTCAAAAAGAGTGTTTATTATTAGAAGTAATGGTTAAAATATATGATTGCCTAGAAAGGAAGGAAGTAAAGAGTGAAAATCTAAAACCCGTGGTGAAAAGAGTGAGGCAGCTGTAACCTATTCCTCAACTTCTGAATGTTAACAGGGCCTGCTTGGGGGTGGGGGGATGGAGGCGTTTGGGGGGCGGGCAGCTGGGGCTTGGGCAGAAAGAGGGCTGGGTTGCTGTGAGCAGGGAGGACTTCAGGGCTGGGTGCTGCTGCCCTCAAATCACAGTCAGTCTGTCCCTCTCACCCGCACCCACGTGGTGCTTACCTCACTTGGGTCAAAGATGGTGGAAGGCACAACAATTCCATTGGCTTTGGCAGCCTTGCGGATGATCACCTCTGCCTCTTCAAATCGTCCCTGAGAGATGAGCCATCGGGGGGACTCAGGGATGAACCTGGCAGTACAAAGTGTGATCTCAGTGAGGCCTCCCTGCCAACAGTAGACCCACAGACCAGGCAGAGCACAGCCATAGGAGGGAATGGGGTTGCAGAACCAGAGCTTGTGGAATGTTTGGTGTTCACAAGCCAGAAGCAAAGAGCTGATCCACACACAGCAATAACCTGGGGTGGATGAGCTTTTGTGTACACCACACTGCACAAAAATGTGAGAGCCTTGCACCCTCTGACAGCATCCCAATGCTGGCTGGCCACCTCCATTTCTGAAGAGCACTGGTGCCACCTGCTGGGCTGAGGAGATGGGTGCAAGATGGGCTCCGGAAGCCGGGCTTCTGTGCATGTCTAGGCCAGCCCAGGCCCTGCTACACTCTCCTCCCTGTCCCTGACACCAACAGAAGCTTCTACCCTAGCCTCTTAGCTTCTCTTCTCTCCTCACCCTACCCCTGATTTAGCCAACAGACTTGTCAGATACTCTACCTAAAATAGCATGTTTGGCCAGGTGCAGTGGTTCACTCCTATAATCCAAGCACTTTAGAGGCGGGTGGATCATTTGAGGCTAGGAGTTTGAGACCAGCCTGGCCAACATGGTGAAACCTGTCTCTACAAAAAAATACAAAAAAATGATCCAGGTGTGGTGGCAGGCACCTGTAGTCCCAGCTACTCGGGAGGCTGAGACATGAGAATCGCTTGAACTGGGGAGGCAGAGGTTGCAGTAAGTGGAAATCACGCCACTGCACTCCAGCCTGGGCAACAGACAGAGACTTTGTCTCGAAAAAAAAGAAAGAAAAGAAAAGAAAAAAGAAAAAAAAATTAGCATGCTTATCAAGGTGCTCTATGGATATTATTTTCCATCTTGCTGGGACCAGGTAGCCGCCCCCACCCTTGGTCATGACTGAGCCCCGTGATGTGTGGCTTACTCTCCCACTATGCCCTGAAATGCTCTCTGCTCCACGTGGGCTGGTGATCTCACCTTCTCTACCTGCAAGGGGTGATTCCCACCTTAGCTCCTCTGCTGTGTTCCCCTCTTGGTCGGGAATGGCCTCTTCTCTGCCTGTTAACTCCTCTACCTTGGTGGTGCAGAAGGAGCCTGGCTTCCTCCATGTGGCTACCCTGAGGACTCTTGCTTTTGGTGCCAGTGCCTGTGGCATGAGACTTCAGCAGCACACAGCCAGAACTAGGGCCTACACTGTCCTGCCCTGAGGCTTGGAAACTTCCTCCAGGTCATGCTGGACCCCATCTTCTCATAGCTACTGCTACTTCTCCCTGCACTTGGGGCAACCCAGCACAGGGCTGAGAGCAAGTCTGTTGCCGTCATGGGATTCTGTTTTGCTTTGGCTCTTTGAGTGTGGAGAAAACATTCTGAAATAATTTATAAATCATCTATGCTTCCTGTCTCTAGGAGACAAAATAGGGATTCATGGGTTGTTGCTGCCCTCTAGTGAAGGCCAGACAGAAATCATCCTGCCAGTGGGCACACGGGGCACAGGGTCACACTCACCACCAGAGTGCCACGCACAGCACCCCCGGCATCGTCAGTGCCACCAGCAGTATTCGCCAGTCTCGGATGAAGTAAGCAAACAGTGGCAGCACCATGTAGCCAAATGCATAAAATATGCATACTCCTAACGTAGAGAATATTATACGAACTGACTTGCCAAGAATTTCTGTCCCTGTTCAAAACAAGGGAGGTCGAGTTAGCAGTTTAATTTGGATTACTTCTTTATTAATTTTTTTATGGTATCTGTGTGAATACGCAGATAAGAAAACAGCCAGAACTGTCTCTAAGTTCCTGGCGCTAGGGAGCGGATGGCGTTCTGAACCCCTCCTATCTGACCATCTCCTGGGGCTGCATCCCTGTGGCCTCTCAGGCCCCCTAGCAACAGTTCTCTCTTGAAAATTTCACCATGTTCTGAAGCCACATGCTAAAGATGCCATGGTAGGTCCCCTTTAATCCTCACATGAGGAAGAATTTATTAAAAGTGAAGTCATTACTAAGCCAGCACATGCTGGCTTAAGCCTCAAGGAAAGAGAATATTAAATATGAAAAGAAAAAACAATCCTTTCAACAATACAACCCAAGGAACTCAAAGGCCTTATCAGCTAGAGTCAGGTTCCCCCAAACACAGGCTGGCCTGCAGCTTCTCAGTGACAACAGGCTGGCACATTTGAGACAAAGCCCTGCAGTGTGCACTCTGAATTAAAACCCTGAAGGTGATGAAAGCCCATTCCTATCAATTTATTCTTGTCCATAGATATCACCAGCCATAGTGCTCTGCAGACAAGGGCTTCTCTACCTTGGTGAGCTTGCCAGTCACGGCCCCTCCTCCACCAACCATGCCGCCCTCTTTCCTGGGCTGGCTCAGCCCTGTGCAGTGGCAGGCCCTTTTTGTAAATGGAGGATCTCTGGTGAGTCCTAGTAAATTGGCCATCAAGTACTAAGACCATGGAGCCATAGCCCAGAGGCCAGAAAAGAACTGGAAATCAAAAGTCAGGCCATTGTGCTACTGGGGACCCCAGGCTGGTCACATGTCTGGCTCAGTTTCCCTGCCTGTAAGTACGGTTCACCAGGAAGCTCTTGCTGGTTTTGTTAAAAACCCTGTCCCCCTTGTGGGACATCACAGCTGTCTCCAGAAAGGTGGGTGATGGGATGATGGTGAAATACAGGATCAAGTACTCAACTCCAACCTGATGGCCATACCCAGGACAAATGCTGCCACATAGTTGGAGATCTGGCCCATGCCTACAAGGACAAACAGCATGACAAACATCTCAAAGTTTTTTGAGAAGATCTGCAGGAAGCTGAAGCCTGTCTGCATGCCCATGGTCACGAACAGCACATTCTTCCGGCCAAACCTGGGAAGAAAAGGAGAGTGACAGAGAACCAGCTGGAAAAGGGCAGCAGGAATGGGCTCCACCAAGTGGGGCTTTCCCAAGATCCATCCAGGGAGCAGGTGTGAACAGTGTTGCCAGGATACCGGCTGCCAGGGACAGTCTCGGTCTCATGGTGCTCATGCTGTTTCTCTCCCTCCCCACTCCCCAGGACAAATGTATAGCCTGGGCACCAGGGTTGCCTAAAAAGTAATACTACAATTATGATAATGATTGCAAGAGACTGAAACACATCAATTATTTAATCCATACATTCATAATGATATTATTTTTTAAAAAAGAATCTGCCAACTTTGGAGAATGACAGAGAAACAATTCATTATAAATGAAAACTGGCAAATAAGGAGAAAGAAGCATTTGTCCTGATTTTACTTTGTAAACTATGTGAACAGCAACCAATAATAGATAAGAGGTAGTATCATGTATAAAAATATTCTAACTTTTAAATGAAAAGGTAATAAAATTAGACTAATACCATGTATAGCCCCCAACGGATTAATAGATATATGCATTATATACTAATGACTGTTAACGTCATGAAGAGACAGTCGGGCATTGCGTGCTTCCTATGGTCTTGCCAAAAGGACTGAACCTGAATCAGAACCTGAATCTCAAGTCTCTGGATCCAACTGGCAATTTTGAGGAAATGCAGAGCATAGAGGAATGTGCTGAACTGCATCCTGAGTGTACCATCAACAAAATCCAGACTGCGAAATTCTATAGGTGGAACAGCTCAGTTTCTTCATAGATAATCAGTAAGGCATAGAAGGGGATAGAAGGAGAATCCATGGATTAAGTAGACTAAAAGACATCAAATATGTTAAGTGGGCAACACTAAACTTGTGTCAAGATGCATATTTCGATAATAAAACTAAAAAAAACCACAAGGAAGTGATTATTACAGGAGTCAGGCTAGCGGTTACTTAATGAGAGAGAGAAGATGCTGTAATTGGGATGGGGCACATGGACAGGGCTTCTTAGTGGACAGCAAAGTTCTACTGCTTGACTTGGAAGTGGTCATAAGGTTATTTCTCTGAAAAAATTCATTAAGCTGCATATTTTTTCTGTGTGGTTTTCTGTATCCGTGCTCATTTTTAAAAGTTTTTAAAGTTGGGTTTATTTTGGTTTGTTTTAAAGAGAGTGCCACAAAGAAGGAAAAAGTCAAGCTAGTGGGAAGCACTGGATTCAGTTTGAGTCTGGCCAGTACTGGCTGACACCCACTTTCATTCAATGTTTATTAAGCATCCATTATACAGGGCACTTTGGATATCAATAAATAAAAAAGATGCTGTTTCTGCCCTTAAGGAGTGTCATAGTATAACTGGTGAAACATACATTAACCACATTTTAATCTAACACCACCCTTCTGAATATACAATTATACACCGAGTCAAGTGCACTGAAGGACTGGAATGCAGGTTCATGAGAGGCACAAGGAAGTAAGTTACCCTGGACTGGGGGTAAGGGTCGGGGAACTGGACATTCAGGGAGGGTCTCCTTGATTATGGGGCACTGAGATGGGAAAAAGTAGTTGACAATGGGGGATTTAAGGTGTAGGGACCAAGCTCTCAATGATATTCACAGCATAGTGGGGAATACCAACATTAATCCTGTAGTAACACTTTTTTTCCCCCAATTTCTGGTAGACGTTATAAAGGAAAGTCACAAGGAACTAGGGATGCTAAATTAGCTGGCATGGTTAAAGAAGGCCACAGGGGGTGGGTTGGGGTGTGTGGGGAATGCTTCAGACTCTGAGAAGACCACACACCCCCATGGCTGGAGGGGGCATGGTGAACATGAGGAGCCAGTGTGGTTGGCATCAGGCGTGCAATTCAAGACTACAGTGGTGGCTAGGAGGCAAACTGCACAAGGTCTTGCAACTATGTGGAAGAGTTTGGTGTTTTTCCTCAATGTAAGTTTTTTTCTGTTGTTTTTTTTCCCATCACTTTGGGGTACTACTGGCATCTAATGAGTAGGGGCCAGGTATGTTGTTAAATATTCTAAAATGCCCAACAACAAAATTATTTAGCTCAAAATGTTAATAGGGTTGAGAAACCCTCGCCTGGAAGTAGACTCCACTTTCCCCTGCATTGTTTTTTTAATAAGAGTGTTCTATATGCCAACCAAGGGGTGGTTCCTAACCACAAGGCAGGCTGGTATAATCTCTATGCCCTTTCCCTTCCTAAGAGCTCCCTGGGATGGTAGGGAAGAGACAGATCCAGAGAACCTTTTACATAGCACCAGTCCTTGGCAGTTCAGGGTTGGGATCAGAAATGTTTGCTTTTAAAGTCTGTCAACAAAATGGCAAACACACACATACCTGGAAACAGGACACAGCAGTCTACTTCTTCCCAGGGTTGCGCATCTCTTACAAGTCACACGCATAAAGATGACTCAGTAGTGTCACATAAAGGGCTTTGACAACCCAGGAGTATTTTAATTGCTCTTGAATTTCAGACGTATTCATATGCCAGAAAGATGGTGAAACCTTTATACTATATAAAAAGTTACATTGACGTCCTAGACGAGTTAGGGCATGAATTGATTGCTTTCAGGTAATCTATTTAGCTTAGGTTTTAGAACTGGTTTACTCAGAAATAATGCACTCAGAAGCTGTCCATCCCACAGGGCACTGGGCCTTCCAAGGGGGCACAGACAGGCTTGAGGCAGGGCATTGGGAGTTGAAGGCAGGGGCTGCAGGCAGAACAGTCATACTTTTAGCCACTTAGGGTGTATTTCATTTACTAGACTTAAATGATCCTACTTTAATGAAAGTTCTGTTTGAACTTCATTTAGAAATATTCTAAATATTAGAATATTTAGAAAGGTTTGAAAAACACTATATTAGCCCTTCTGTAGACTAAAGTGGTCCTAAGCATACTCAAGAATTTTGTTTCCAGTTTCCCTGGGAATAGACCTTTTGGAACTTAAATGCTTTCCTCAGGTAATCATTGTGTTACATGGTGAACAGGTTCTTAAGCTGACCCATGACACAGTTGACCCAGAAAAATACACTGCATTTCTACTCTGAACTTGGGCACTCTCTTTTTCACATCAAGGGCTTCCTCTGAGCCTCAGCTGTCACTTAGCTCCGTGAGAAGGAATCTCCCATGTCTACTCGGGAGGCCTCTAGGCAAAGCACAATCCTCCCCCAGTTCCCCTCTACCCTCCCCGCTCCCCTCTCCCCAGGCAACCTCATCCCCATCTGGGGCTCTGCTGAGGGTTCTATACGCTGACAATTCCTACATGTGTTTCTGCAGCCAAAACCTCTCATGCAGTACCATATCCACACAGCCAGCTGCACACTCTACTTCTCCACTTAGGGGTCTCATAGTCACCCCAAATTTAGTGCACACAAATTGAACTCAATATCTATGAACGTGGTCCTTTTCCAGTGTTCTCTGTCTTAGAGAAGTGTACATTCATCCAGTTACCCAGGTCAGAAAGCTTTCTTCCCTCGATTACGACATCCAGCCCATCGGCAAGTCCTGTTGATTTTACCTCTTATCACTTCCCTCCATTTCAACCACCATCACACTAGCCCATGCCACCATCATCTCTGGCATGAACTACTGTGACAACCTTTTAATTGGTCTCTCTGCAACACCTTTTGCTTCCCTTCAATTCTTTCCCCACAAGGTTGTCAAAGCATCTTTAAAAAAAAAAAGTACAAATCTGATTGTCACACTATTGCTTTAAAAAGTCTCAGTAGCCCACTCCTGCTCTGTGGCTGAAGCCCAAAGTCCTAACTGTGATCCATTAAGCCCTGGTTGCTCGTCTGCTCAGGGCTCTGCATGCCTCTCCCCTTCATCTTAACACCACTCTCCGCACCTCTACCGTACGGACTTTGTCCTGCTGCCATGCCTCTTCCTGAGCCCCTGCTTTAGTACGTGCTGTTCTCCCTGCCTGGATGTTCTTTCTCCTCTCTACCCCTCAGCTGGCTACTTTTGACTCATCTTTCAACTCTCAGCTCATGCTTCACCTTCTCAGGGATG